CTGAGGGGCGGTAGAGGGCTGGCTGCCAGTGATTTGAGGCCACTGGGTCGGGGCAGTGACTGCTGGCTCTGGGCTGGCAGGCTTGGAGTTGGCACAAGCACTGTGGCCAGAGTCTACCCCTTTAAGGGCTCCAGTGGGGGGGGGGAGTGGAGTGTTCTTGGTTGAGGCTGGAGTGGCCACCAGGGCACCCTGGGAAGCCTAGAGGCCCCCTATTTTGAAATAAGTGTCTACACAGCACTTATTTCGAAATAGCTATTTCGAGTTTGGCGTTATTCCTCGTGGAATGAGGTTTACCAAATTCGAAATAAGTGCTCCGCTATTTCAAATTTATTTCAAAATAAATAAATTTGGGTGTGTAGATGCTAGGAAAGTTATTTCAAAATAAGGGCTGTTATTTCAAAATAACTTTGCTGTGTAGACATACCCTCAGTGATATACAGCAGCAGAGATAACATTAACTATGACTATGAGAGAGTATTAGTCATCCTACCTGAGCACTTGCTCAGGTTCAGAAAGAGGTGCCCTTGAGCACCTCTAACAGCAGTGCACAGCACAGTTTGTAGATGTGTGCCAAAATATGAAAGCAATACCTTGAGAATGTTCAAAATGCACTAAGCTATTTGAATTCTGCAAGGGCCAGCATAAGGAAAGAATTTAATCCTTAGAAAATAGGGTCAGTTCTTAAAGTTGCTCATATAAAGTATGTATTAGCTATTCTTTTAGTAGTTTTTCTGATGGGCTCTTTAGAGACTGCATTCAATGCAGACAGAGCTATGATGTAGTATTAACAGTAGTCTTGACAGAAGAAATGAAGGATAAAAAAAGATCAATGTGAGGTGTGTTTTTCCTAAGACACATATAAGATACTTCAGGAAATGTCATACTTCCTCCTGAATATTTAAAAATAACCCAGTAAATCTTATAAGCACCTTCTAATTTGAAGTCAGAAAAATGTGGTTAAGTCAGAAAAATGAGTCAGGGAGTACACAGAAGCAAGCAGAAAAGCAGAAAGCTGGTAAAAACATGATATTATACATCTATTAGATTTAACTTCCATGCAGCCATATGTTGTCATTGACAGTGACACAAGTTAGGTTTCTAATTCTATGCTCTGTTTACAATAAGCGGAGGTAAATATAACTCTACTGAATCTAATCAATAAGCTATTGGCAACACGTGTTGTCATGAATTTGCCTTGTGCTCTGGATTTCTAACTGTAGAACTTAGGGGTTAATTCAGGGAAAATATTTATTGCAAGTATTTCGTTGCAATAATTAAAATATGGAAACTTTTTCGACAATACTCTTTCCAGGATTTGTGTTCTATCTCTTCACTCCCTACATTGCCTCCCATAATACAAACATCATTAAAGTAGGCAATTCCATGAAGAATCATATAACATTAGAATGGTCAAAGTATGTCATATTCCCCAAACACACTCTGATACCTCTAACTCACCCCCCAAATCTGTTCCACTTCCCATCACAGACTCATGACTAGTCGTCTTGCTTCCTGCTAAGGCTAGTCAACAACATGGTTGTTAATAAAAAAATGTAGAGGAATTTGTTGGAAAAAATACCTATAATCAGATGGAACATTTGAAAATGGAAGGTAAACTCCTGGTCCCACTGAAATCAATGGGGTTTCACTCAGAGCTCTTCACAAATATCATAAATGGGATAAATGTGATTTTCACCTTATTTAGAAATTGCGTCCCATGCTATTTTTGCTATGACAAGTACTTGTTTAATATTTAGTAAACAATTACATCCAGGGTTTTTTCATCTTAGTATTAATTATTTGGGGGTAAAATTGTATATTTTGTTCAGTTATCACAAGTCCAAACAAATGAACAGGGGCTTTGGTCAGAGGCTTGGAGAAAACAATCTTTCTCCTCACACTCCTGCCATTTGGCTGCAAGTCCAAATTTGTCCACTGCCACTATTCCTGATTACAGTTGTAGCTAAAGATTCTGGCACACCTGATACTTGGAGAATTTAGCTCCATAAACCCCGAGTGGAAAATCAAGTAGTCACTTCCCTGCTAATTCTGCCACAACTCCATGTGCCCTTCACTGTAAAGCACCAGTGTAAACAGGCTCCCAGCACTGGGAGTTACTCCTGGAGGAGGTTTGCATACAGCACTAGGAAAGCTCTCTCTCAGCGCTAGTGCTATGACCCCACTGCCACAGCTACAGGCTGTGCTGCCGCAGCCGTGCTTTACATTCAGCAGTGTAGACTCCACCTAAGGAATCAGGAACTTTAGAGGAGAGCTTCATGGCACATAGAAGGTGCAGGATTCTCAGCAGTTTGTGGGCTGCCCATTATCCCTGACCAAGATGATTATCCTCATGTTAAGCAGCAGTACAGTCAAGATGATGATCCTGCTTTTAAGATTTTCTCCACCTGAAGATGGTAGGGAGAAAACCTCAGGCTTTGTGTGTATAAGAAAATATTCTTAGGTGTGCCTTCATGTTAAATATTCCTTTGGACAGGACCTGCATGGAGACATGAGAAATGGCTGCAGAACCTTGTGTAGGAGAAGGATAATGGAGTTCTTGTCATTCTTTCTATCTGCAAAACACAAAGCTGAGGAATTTGCAAACAGTCTGCATCCCTGCCATATACAGGCCACATCACACAAGCATCTGGTGTGCGAGGTGAGCTGGGGAGAGGCAGGTGGTACTTACAGGTTTTATCAGTTATTACAAGTTCTGACAGGGAGACAGGACTAAGCAGGGAAGTAGAAGGTTATGGAAGAAAGTGGGATGGGTGATATTGATGGATGCAGCGACAGCTGAGTGGGATCAAAGTGAGGGTGCTGAGGAATGATG